AAAAATTAACTCAAGATGGATTAAAGACTTAAATGTAAGTCCTAAAATCATAAAAACCCTAGAAGAAAACCTAGGCAATACCATTCAGGACATAGGCATGGGCAGAGACTTCATGACTAAAATACCAAAAGCAATAGCAACAAAAGCGAAAATTGACAAATGGGATCTAATTAAATTAAAGAACTTCTGCATAGCAAAAGAAACTATCATCAAAGTCAACAGCCAACCTACAGAATAGGAGAACAAATTTTTGCAATCTATCCATCTGACAAAGGGCTAATATCCAGAATCTACAAGGAACTTAAATTCACAAGAAAGAAACAACCCCATCAAAAAGTGGGTGAAGGATATGAACAGACACTTCTCAAAAGAAGACATTTATGTGGCCAACAAACATATGAAAACAAGTTCATAATCACTGGTCATTACAGAAATGCAAATCAAAACCACAATGAGATACCATCTCATGCCAGTTAGAATGGCAACCATTAAAAAATCAGGAAACAACAGATGCTGGAGAGGATGTGGAGGAATAGGAATGCTTTTACACTGTTGATGGGACTGTAAATTAGTTTAACCATTGTGGAAGACAGTCTGGTGATTCCTCAAAGATCTAGAACCAGAAATACCATTTGACCCAGCAATCCCACCACTAGGTATATACCCAAAGGATTATAAATCATTCTACTATAAAGACACATGCATACGTATGCTTACTGCAGCACTATTCACAATAGCAAAGACTTGGAACCAACCCAAATGCCCATCAATGACAGACTGGATAAAGAAAATGTGGCACATGTATACCATGGAATACTATGCAGCCATAAAAACGATGAGTTCATCGGATTTGCAGGGACACGGATGAAGCTGGAAACCATCATTCTCAGCGAAGTAACACAGGAACAGAAAACCAAATGCCGCATGTTCTCACTCATAAGTAGGAGTTGAATAATGAGAACACATGGACACAGGGCGGGGAACATCACACACCGGGGCCTATCAGGGAGTGGGGTGCTAGGGGAGGAATAGCATTAGGAGAAATATCTAATGTAGATGACGAGTTGATGGGTTCAGCAAACCACCATGGCATGTGTATACCTACGTAACAAACCTGCACGTTCTGCGTATGTATCCCAGAATTTAAAGTACAATTAAAAAAAATTAAAACAGTTGAACTCATGGAGAGAGAGAGCAGAAGGATGATCACCAGAAGCTGGAATGGTTGGGGGAAGGGAAGATGGTAATGGGCACAAAAAATAGTTATAAAGAACAAAAAATAGAAAAACTAAATAAGACCTAGTATTTGCTAGCACAGCAGGGAGACTGTGGTAAAAAATAATTGTACATTAAAAAAAAACTAAGAGTATAACTGAATTGTTTGAAACAAAGAATAAATGCTTGCAGTAATTACCCTCATGTGGTAATTATGCATTGCATGCTGGTATCAAAATATCTTAGGTAACCCATAAGTATATATCTACTATAGATCCACAAAAATTAAAAATAAAAAAAGAAAATAGGTGTAAGAATCTTAACTAAAATATGAGTAAAAGGAATATAGCAATACGTTGAATAAGTAACATGTCATGACAAGGTAAGGTTTATTTCAGGGCTGTACAAATGGTTCAATACTGGGACATCTTAGGGAAAAAAGTATAGATAATAAAATTACATACAATTATATAATTCACAAAAAGCTAATGCTAATGTTTTGGTGAATTTTCTCCGTTGCGTGCGTGTGACAGAGAAAGTGATAGTCTTTCCATAAGTGAAATTATACTGTTGTATGGCTTATTATTGTCATAACTTTAGTTCTTCTAAAATGTAGATTATAATGGACATAATGCTTTATCACGATTATAATTTTAAAAGTCTTTTATTCTTAAATACTTTAGGTATCTTCAATTTTTCATTAGTTTAAATAATAACAATAAAAATTACTATTTTTAAATAACATCATTTACCATGGTAAATAAATTCACCATGATGGTGAATGCTTTTATATTTAAATCTTTGTCTGCATCTGATTCTTAGGCCAAAGAGGTAGATTATTTGTCGTGTGTTTCAGTTGTTTATGTCATGCATAATGGATCCTCTAGTGGACAGAAACAAATTCAGACAATACATTTGTGTGAATTAGGAATATATTTGGCTGTCAGTAGCAGAAAACTACCCTTAGAGTAACTTACACAAACTGGGATCTGTTTTTCTCCACAGTAAGCAATGCAGAGGCAAGTGGCTGCAGGCATTGGCTCAGTGGCCAGCATTTCTGTGATTTGTAAAAATCTTGCCTTCCAGCTCCAATCGGTTGCCACTGCTCAACCTCTTCCTGACTTCCTTAGTTGGCATTCAAGTAAAAATGTCAGGAAAAAAGAGGTTGAGCAATGCCAACCACGACTTCCCTTTAATCAGGAAAAGCAGAAGGCCTCCCAGGCCCTCAGCATACTCTGGATCTCGCTGGCTAGCACTGGTCACCCGGGCATCCCGGATTGCTGAAGAACTACAGAAAGCAAGTGTCTGTCCTGGGGCTGGGCTCACTGCTGCTTCCAATAAAAGGACTATGTTACAAGGCAGGTGAGGGAGGAAGGAGATTGGGTAGGCAACCGAAATTACATACTTCAAGATTTATTTAACATTCTTAGCGTGGAGGATGCATCTATATGCATTATCCCAATCACCCCACTCTTCCCCATACACTTTAGACTAAGATGGGGTAGATTTATGTACCACTTGCTTTCATAAATTTTTCATCAGTTTTGTATAACTTTAAAAAGCTACAGTACTCAAAGAGCATTCATTTCCTGGATGCAGCCATTTAATTTAAGGTAAATAACTGGATTACCTGACTGTTAGCTTCCTCCAATAACTTTAAGTTGTTTTAATGCAGCCATAAGCCTGAGGGAGAAAGCATAAATGAAGTACCGCTTTTAGCTAAAAATTAGGAGAAAACATTTTAATTTCTCCAAGCTATTGCAAACTAATAAACACATGAAAGGAACAACCTGGCAAGATAAATTTGTCTCCTGGGTTATCAAACCATTCTCAGCATCTCACTGTGGAAGAAAATCCAAGGTTTAACTTTGAAATCTCAGTGGTGTGCTTGATGCAAGGAACATCTGAAATACGTGTTGTTACGGCTGGGAAATGGAGAAATGGTTTATGTTAAATAATACTTTGAACCGAAGACATTAAAGAGGCAATCACTTGCTTTTTCCATTGTTGTTCAGAAGCTGCAGAACAAAACTCCACAAGATTTTCACTTCAAATGAAGGCTTCCTCTATCCTTTGTAGGATTCCAGGGTTCGTTCAATTGCTTTTCCTCAAAAACATCTTTGATCAAAAACATCAGATTAACCTAAATCTCAAAGTTGGTATCAAGTAATTTTCACTTCAACTCAGGGCACTTATGTTCACATGGTACAGCTATCCGGAGTCAGGGCAACAGGAGGAGGCGTGCTGAATATTGTGAAAAGAGCTACAAAGAGAAGAGATTAGAACCGTAAAGTGCACGACTGTACACACGCACACTCGGAATTCTCATTAATTTTTTATAAGGCAAAATAACCTTTTAGCAACACGTGACTCTTAATATGCAGCATGTTTCACTGTCCTCTTTGCTCAAATGCAATCGTTTTTACTTTCAGGAAGGCAAGATCATGCCAGTCAAATATGAAGAAAATTCTCTTATCTGGGTGGCTGTAGATCAGCCTGTGAAGGACAACAGCTTCTTGAGTTCTAAGGTCTTAGAACTCTGCGGCGACCTTCCTATTTTCTGGCTTAAACCAACCTATCCAAAAGGTAACATTTTAAATTATCTTAATGCTGTTTACAACTCTCCCTGTTCATGCATGTGAGGTTCCTCCAACCCCTCCACAGGCCTGAGCATGTAACAAGGAGGATAAATCAGGATGCATGTGGCAGTGTCTCAGTAATTAGCATGAGAGATGAAAGCAGGAAAATAGCCCATGACTATTGTAGGGAAGGGAGGGAGCAGTGGGGTTAACAGGAGGCAGATTGGGAAGACAACGCCAAGGCATTACCTGCAGCTTTTGTTTATGACACTCTCACTTCTTTCTGCTCTGCCCCTTAATCTCAGTTGTTTGCACCTTCCAATTTTACATTTTTTTATTTCTAAGGCATAGAATCAAGGGACTAAGAAACTGTCATACTGCCGAGTCTTTATTGTGTTCAAACCTAGAATTATGGGACAGCCAAAAGCTGCTGTGGGTATTGGCTGAGATTCCTCAAATTCAGAGCTTGAATATTAGCTTCCAAGTCCAGTGAAAATAAATGCAGACTCCCTGGAGTTCACAGCTAGGCTGGAGCATATCTTTGAGCTATTTCTGGGTGATGAAGGGCAGGTGAGCTCGGTGGACCTCGCTCTGCCTCCTGAGTTTCTCCTGTCCCCCAAGTTCTCTCACTATTTCTACTGCAGTCACCACACTGGCCTCCCAAAGGCCTATTTTGTAGCTCTGGTTCAAGTGTAGGAAAAAAAGGCCTTTCTCCTAGCACAGCTGAGATAGGCTAATGTTTTCTGAAAGATTTTATGGAACACTAGCAGACAGCAGCATGGAAATAAAGAAAATATAGGCCTTTAAAAGCACTAAGCTTGGTGGGCACGCAGTGAAAAGACTGGGCAGTTAGTGTTTAATAGGTACAGTTTCATGTTTTGCAAGATGAAACATGTTCTAGATGGTGATGATTGCACAGCAATGTGAATGTACTTCATGCCACTGAACTGTACACTTAAAAATGGTTAACGTGGTAAATTTCATTATGTATATTTTACAATTTTTAAAAGTACCCACCAGGCTTAGGAAGTACAGGTCGCTGATTCTGCCATGACTAACTTATTCTTATGGTTCACAAGTCCCATTCTGTCCCAAAGCTGGAGAAGATGGCTCCTCTCTAGCCTGGGTGAGGCAAATAGGATTCAGTGACAAGCCACTGGCAGTAACTGCCCGGCACAGTGGGCTGGGAAGGAGCTCGAGACCATATGCAGGCTCAGTAAGAAAGAATTCCAAACTCAGTCAACACGGGCTGGCTGGCTGAAGCGGGCAGGAGAGGGGCTGCCAAATGGGCTGTGCTGTTGCCATTCCTGCTCTTGCTCCTGTGGGTGGTCACAACTCACAGTTCTATGATGGCTTGCCAAGTTCTGGCTTTCTGTTCCACACCTGCCGCCACCTGGGTGGGCCTCTTACTTTCCATCGCCCAGGAACTCCCACCTTTTCCAGCTGAGGACGAGAGTCTGCAGTGCGCTACCAGTTAGGGCTCTCCCTGATCACACTGAGGACAAGCCTCTTACCCAGAGAGTTCATTCACTCATTTGACAGACATTCATGAGGGCCTAGTATGTGCCATATACTTGTCATAGGTACTTGAGGTGCATCCGTGAATAGAATAGACAAGAACCCATGCCCTCAAGGAGTTTTGCATTGTAGCAAGGGGAGACAGCAAATAAACACTAAATTAAAATAAGAAAATTGTGTAATATGATACAAGGTGCTATGGAAAACGCCAGTGCAGGGCCATGGGGTGGGCATTGGTGATCAGAACACAGCATTATCGGCAATGCTAAGACAACTGGTATGATGAGTAATTTCTCACTTGGGGAAAGAGCGTCTTCCCTACACATTCAAGATGTGGTTTGGTCCCTCCTAGCCCAATAGCATGAACACATTTTAAGTATTTCAATCACCCCAACATCCATACAAGAATCACACATATTATGTACACAAGAAAAGTGGAAAACACCTCAATGCCCCCAGATTAGAAAGGTAAATGTTGATATATCCATAAAATGGAATATCATAGATATGAAAAATGGACTCCCCCCATCTCTCATAAGTACAGTTATATTTTACAATACAATCAAGAAACTAAGTCCCCCTCTGATGATGCCAGGCTTCCTACCACCTAATTCTAATAAAAGCACCACACTCCAGGGTCCAGTGGCCCATGTCCTTGGATCTTGAAGCCAGCAGGTCATCAGTGTCACACAGCTGTATTATCAGAGACACTGGGAATGACAGCTGGACACAGGTCAGAAGGGAAGGGGGAGAGCTGACGCCTGCTGAGCTCTATGTGTCAGGCATGACACTAGAGCATTACACTTTGTCCTCATTTAATCTTCGCCAACAACTGTGGGGGTAACTACTCGTTCCCATTTTATAGATGAAGAAACTAAGGTTCACAGAGGTAAGTAATTTGCCTAAGGTCATTTAGTTAGTTAAATGAAGCAGAACTGTGATCAAATCCAGGTCTCACTTGTGCCTCTCCAACCATGCTATCTGTGGAAGCTACCAATGGCTTTAAAGCACATCTGAGTTCTCCTAAATAACAAAGCATGATATAATCCTCATCACCTAATAGTTCAGTGCTTATTATATGCAACACATTGTGCTTAAACCTTTAGACAGATTCTCATTAACCCTATCACTACCCTATGAATTAGATACTATTATTATCCCCATTTTACAGATAACGAAACTGGGTCTCAGAGAGACACCAAAATCCAAGCTGTGTCGTACTTTCTACTCTTTTTTGAGATAGAGTTTCACTCTTGTCACCCAGGCTCGAGAGCAATGGCACAATCTTGGCTCACTGCAGCCTCTGCCACCCGGGTTCAAGTGATTCCCTGTCTCAGCCTCCCAAGTAGCTGGGATTACAGGTGCCTGCCACTGCGCCCAGCTAATTACTGTATTTTTAGTAGAGATGGAGTTTCACCATGTTGACTAGGCTGGTCTCGAACTCCTGACGTCAGGTGATCTGCCCGCCTCAGCCTCCCAAAGTGCTGGGATTACAGGCGTGAGCTACTGCTCCTGGCCTGTATTTTTGTTAATTGGCAGCCATCAGCCCCGCTGCAGGACCCATGAGGCTGTGTGGTAAACTAGACCCAGGGTGTTCACGCTGGGCACGTAGCTATGCCAACCATTCTGTGATCTTGGCCAAGTCACTTGGCCTTTCTGAGGCTTGATACCCTCATATATAAAAGCATTTGCTTTTTCTATCCCATAGGATTTTTAAAAAGCATAAGCCAAGATATTTCCCTTGCAAACTGTAAAGCTTTATACTGATATAGTCAATCCATTAGGAATACTTAGGGCTACAATTAACAGAATATTTGATCAACAGTGGTTTCAACAAACACAGGTTTATTTTTTTCATATAGCCAGAAGTCTAGAGAGAGGAGGTTTTTGACACTACCTGCTACTCAATGATACCATCAAGTCTCTTCCCAGTTACCATTTTACTACCTGTAGCATGCTGGCTTATGATGCCTATCACTTCATAGTCACAAGTTGACTCTTATAACTCCAGATATCACATCTGTGTTCAAGAAAGGAAAAACAAGACATAGAAGCCTGTCTGTCCCCTTTTACCGAGAAAGCAAAAGGCTTCCCAGAAACTGCACTAGCATATTCTGCTGATGTCTCCCTGGTCAGATATGTCTCACCTGGCCACTTCTAATTGCAAAGGAAGCTGGGGAAATGAGTGGTGTTTTACTTTCTCAGCCCCAGTAGCGAAGGCAGACCAAAAGAAAGGGGGGAGGTGGTGTTGAGGTTTGCCAGGCCATCTTACAATGTCGTCCTCAATTAGTATTACAAAACCAAATTCAGATTATCTGTATGTTTAACTATTAGCCCAAGACTCTAAAACATGCTTTATTATTACAAACATCAGTACAAAAATTTTAAACCATCTGGTTATGCACAAACTTTGATATCCTTTTCTTATGTTTTTCACCCTGATAAACACAGATCTAATTTCCTTAATTATTCAAATAAAGGGATTAACTTACGGAAATTTTTGCAGAAATCCAGAGGGAAAGAAGAGAAGTGGTAAGAAAAATTGTTCCAACTACCACTAAAAGACCACACAATGGACCACAGGGCAACCCAGGCGCTGGAAGACTGAATAATGAAACCAGACCCAGCATTCAAGAGGACTCACAAGCCTTCAATCCCGATAATCCTTATCACGTGCGTTCCGGTGCTTTATGACATTAGACAAATGCATTATAGTGCCAAGGCCAGGTGTGGTGGCTTACACCTGTAATCCTAGCACTTTGGGAGGCAGAGGTGGGCGGATCACGAGGTCAGGAGTTCGAGGCCAGCCTGGCCAACATGGTGAAACCCTGTCTCTACTAAAAATACAAAAAATTAGCCAGGCATGGTGGCACACGCCTGTAATCCCAGCTACTCCGGAGGCTGAGGCAGGAGAATCACTCGAACCCAGGAGGCGGAGGTTGCAGTGAGCCGAGATCGGGCCACTGCACTCCAGCCTGGGTGACAGGGCGAAACTCCGTCTCAGAAAAAAATAGTGCCGAAATGGTGTTTGTACATGAGGTTTCAAACGAGCATTTAGGTATTCAACTTAGACTTTTATTCAATTATTTTAAAAATACATTTTCATTTGTTGCAAAGTTTTTTTGTTGTTGTTATTTCACTGCAACCTCCGCCTCCCAGGTTCAAGCAATTCTCCTGCCTCAGACTCCCAAGTAGCTGGGATTACAGGTGCCCGCCACCATGCCTGGCTAATTTTTTGTATTTTTCTTTTTTGGTAGAGACAGGGTTTCACCATGTTGGGCAGGCTGTTCTCAAACTCTTGACCTCAGGTGATCCACCTGCCTCAGCCTCCCAAGGTGTTGTTGGGATTACAGGCGTGAGCCACTGCACCCAGCCTGTTGTAAGGCTTGTAATTAAGGGTAAGAACACTTAAGCATTACCTCTGTAGTGTAAAATCCTGATTGGCTGGTAACCCTTATTCAGTTGTTTTCTGTGCTCTCTTTTTTGAGTCACAGGCAAATTCATGAAAACAAATTCATACGAGAAATTTGATTATTTGAAAATGTTTCCTAGAGTGCTCCCTGGAGGAAACATATGGAAGTATTCTCCTTCCCTCTTTATACCCACTTTATTCATTCATTCAACAGACAGTCATTTAGGCACCTGCTCTTTCCCAGACTCTGTGCACAGTCAGGAGAACCTTCTGCCCTCAGGGGCTCTCAGTCCAGTTAGAGGATAGACCCACAGTTAGATGTAAAACGCTTTAGGCTGAAACACTAAAAAGTGATGTTTGTGAGGATGACACAAAGGTGCTAAAAACTCAAATCTTCCACAAAGTATTTACCATTATACTTTTCAGGGAGTGAAAAAGTAGAATAAGTATTTGTAGCTAGCTTTTAAAATAAAAAATACGGGTTGGGCGTGGTGGCTTACACCTGTAATCCCAACACTTTGGGAGGCCGAGGTGAGCAGTTCACCTGAGGTGAGGAGTTCAAGACCAGCCTGGCCAACATGGTGAAACCTCATCTCTATTAAAAATACAAAAAATTAGCCAGCACAGTGTCGCGCACCTGTAGTCCCAGCTACTCGGGAGGTTAAGGTAGGAGAATTGCTTGAACCCAGGAGACTGAGGTTGCAGTGAGCCAAGATTGCGCCACTGCACTCCAGTGTGGGTGACAGAGTGAGACTTCAACTAAAAACTAAATAAAATTTTAAAATACATGCAGAAATTTTTTAAAACACAGTACAAAAGATATATTATGAAGTGTTTTCCTTCCATCCAAGACACCCTCCCCAAAGCAACCTATTAACAATGACTATTTGTCCAGTGTCTTTGCTTAAGTACACACAGACACAAGCACACACACTTTTAACACAAAAAAAGTTTTAACACAAAACTTTTATACCTTGCTCTCTTTCAGTTACAGTATTTTGGAGACTGTTTTCCTACATAGTACCTCATTCATTTAATGACTACTATTCATTTAATAGTAATTCATTGTATACATAAATGTACAGAAATTTAGTTATGCTTTCATGACTATAAATTATTTCCGTCTTTTGCTGTTTGCAAATACTGCTACAGGATACAATCTTGTATATGACTTACAGGATTTGTACAGGATTATCAACAGTAAATCAAGGTAATGCAGGTGGAGCTCTTAGCACAGGGCTTGGGACACACAGGTGAGCAGTAACTTTCTCAATGTTAGCTATTAGTATTGTGCCGCTTTGTACACACACGGAAGTCTATGTTTAGCATAAATACTGAAGCATGAGTCTGCTGCATTGAAGTAGATTTACATTTTAATGGAGGATACCAAATTGCCTTTCAAGAAATTACATCAGCTATATGTCTGCAAACAGTAATGGAAGGACCCACTTATTATCAAACTTAAAAAAAAAACTTTCACCAATCTCTTGGGTGTAAATTTTATCTCCTGGTTGTTTATCCTGCTTGTCTTTAATTATGCGTAAGGGTGAGCATCTTTTCATATACTAAGTCACCTGCACGTTTTTCTATGTAGCCTATTCAGTCCAACACTATTTCAGGTGTTGCCAATATATTTCCTAGTTTATCATTTTAAAAATATTTTAGAAAACCTTGGAGCAGAAAGTATTTTCTAAATAACCAAAGGCTTATCATAAAATTCAGGACACCATAATACTACCTTAGCTTGAAGAAGAAAAAAAAAGAATCTGAATAGATGAACAAAATTTAATATTGTTTATTCCCTGGGGAGCTGGGCTGCCTGAATCTGGCTCAAGGGGTGAGGGCATCAGTCCCTTTACAGATGGGCAGGATGTGACTTTGCCTTGGATACAGTCTTGAGTGACCTGTATCCCTTGAAAAACTCCAATTATATCAATTTTTTCCTTTATTATATGTTGGACTTTAAGCAGAAATGTTTTCAAAGCATTTATCTCCATGATCTCAGTCCTTCAGTTATTCCTTTAAAAAAATGTATCTTAGGGTAACAACATGAGATTTCCTCCCAACCTTTCAATCCTAAAACTTTGTCAGACCCTCAGATAAGGAAGTGCCTCAACCGACAGGCCTTTTAACTCTCCCTGCCCCATAATTAATAAATGAGGTTGTTGTCTTTTTGCTGTCCCAGATTAACCTATTCAAGAAATAAGGCAAAGAACAGAGACAGTCTGATGAATTAAAAAAACGAATGCTTTAAAAGATAATAAATATTTTGATGACATAATTTGAATATAGGTTGTATCAGATCATGTTAATTTTGTGATAATGGCAATCTGGTTGTAAATTTAGGAAAACATCCTTATTTTGGGGGGCACATTCTAATTATTTATGGATGAAATGTCACAATTCCTCCAATTCTCTTTAAACTCACTTCAGAATTCACTTTAAAATACTAGTTTTGTTTTGATGGACATTATTTCCTTATCTTTTGCTGTTGCAGGAAAGGGAAAAGCAAATTTGACAATAGGTTAGCAATTGTCCAATCTAGATGAGTCTACTGGTGTTCAATATATTTTTTTTCCTGTACTCTCCAGTATGTTTGAAATTTTTTTTTTTCCAAGACAGTTTCACTCTTGTTATCCAGGCTGGAGTGCAACTTCCGCCTCCTGGTTCAGAAGATTCTCCTACCTCAGCCTCCTGAGTAGCTGGAATTACAGGTGTCCACCAACCACACCTGGCTAATTTTTTTGTATTTTTTAGTAGAGATGGGGTTGGTTTCACCATGTTGGCCAGCCTGGTCTCAAACTCCTGACCTCAGGTGATCTACCTGCCTCAGCCTCCCAAAGTGCTGGGATTGCAGGCGTGAGCCACTGTGCCTGGCTGAAATTTTTAATAACTTCCTCCCCATCCCAAATTATGATTAAAGACTTTTTGTTTCAACACCAGAATCAGCTAACTTTAGGAAAGAGGCTTAAATTGAATCAAGAATTTTAAGATAAGGGCTTCTTGGGAATGTACTTCAATACTATATTAAAAATAATGCAGAATCTCTACCCTTAGAAGTCCCCTAAAAGGAAAACCAGATATGTAAACTGGGCAGGGTTAGAGGGATGGGAGTTCCTTCCAGTTCTGTAATCTCACCAGCAGTGAAGATGGAGATTTTTACTTCAATATAATCTTGTGTTTATATAACTATACTTACATAAAAAACTAGAAGGTAAAGTTTAAGGTCTTGAATTTTACATGTTTTTGTGGAGTCTTTTCCTGAGACCCCTTTGTCCCTATAGAGGTAACATCCCCATTCTGTTACTGAAATGAAAGCAGGAGAAACTAAATGACTTGACAGTGTTCTCAGAGCCAGTGTAACTGGAACTGAAATCTGTCTTTAGCCTAGATTGATGAGTTTCAAAATGTGCTTCTAAAGAGGCTGGAAGCCATTACTGCAAGAAGTCACAAGCATTCAACTGACTTAGAATTAGCAGTGGCAGAAATGCTACTTTTTATCATAATGCTTCCTTTCTTGCTTTCCTACTTAAAACAAGCTGAGTTACTGAGTGGTAACTATGGTTCATTAAAGGCATGGAGAAACTCCAGGATATCATTTTAAAAGACAAAATAACTTTCTAGTCAGTGACAGGTGAGATAGGTGTAGATTCCTTGGTGTCAAAAGGAATTATGAATGACAGCAGGTAAACAAGATCAAAACTCTTTACAGCAGATTACAGTATCTCGTAGTAGTGAAAAATTCAGAATCTTATTTAAAAATAACATGCATGCTATGACCTTCTCATTATGCAGTTATCACAAATAATTATCTTTTATTTCACAGCAGCAGGAAGGGGAAAGCATGACATTCGACCCTAGACTGGATCACGAAGGAATCTGTTGTATAGAATGTAGGCGGAGCTACACCCACTGCCAGAAGATCTGTGAACCCCTGGGGGGCTATTACCCATGGCCTTATAATTATCAAGGTTGCCGTTCGGCCTGCAGAGTCATCATGCCTTGTAGCTGGTGGGTGGCCCGCATCTTGGGCATGGTGTGAAATCACTTCATGTATCATGTGCTGTAAAATAAGAACTAGCTGAAGAGACAACCAAAGAAGCATAAGGCATGCTGATGCTGATGGGACCACAAAATATTTTTACACTCTGAGCGGTTATTCTTGACACTCTTAACAGAATTTTTTCCAGAACTTTAGTATGTGCAAATGTACTGAAAGGGTAGTTCAAGTCTAAAATGCCATAACCCCTTTATTATTTGTCATTTTTTGCTTTGCTTTGCCATAAGTCTTCCCTTGCTTATATCTTCCAAAGCTATTTTGAAATAAACATGAAAATTTACAATTTGTCAAAAATCTCAATCGTATACTTGAGCTTTTAATTAAGTCATGATGAAAATAAGTCATTGTTGTTTGTACAGAATTCCTCAATTGTTCTTAATCTTTTTTGCTCTTCCTCTTGTAAACGTGCCCCCAGAATTCCCAGATAAAAACACATAAAAAGGAAAGGATATATAATGGAATCTATCTAAAAGTGAACATTTTTAGCCTCAATGTGGAAGCTCATGGGGAACTATTTGAGTGCACTGGCATGTGACCTGTGTTAAGAGTCACCTCCAGGAAAAGAGCACTAGGATAAAGAAAAATGCGGTCGAAGGTAAATCAGACTTGTGGGGAAGACTTTATTGACATTCTGAAAAGGTGGTCTTCACACCTTTCTCAATCTGTTTTCCATAAGTGGTCACTGGGCATGAAGCAGCATAATGATTTTTACCTTTGTAGTACAAATCAGGCTGCAGCTATAGTCCAATTACCAATAAGTTACTCTCCTAGTAACAGGGCTGACAGTGTTGCTTGGCAGATACAGCTGAGGAGGAATAGCTTATTTATGTATAATGACATAAAGAAAGTCTCTCAGGAACAAGGACTGTCTTTAGAAATTGAAATATCAGATCAAGAAGATGAGCAGGTATATTTTTGACATTTCAGTTTTGCATCCCACAGTTTGAGAGATAAACAAATTTCCTAAGGAAAATAAAAGTAAGTTTTCCAAAACACAGGATTCTGAGATGACAGAAAGGTCTTGATGCCATGATCTCACTACACACTCATATTCAGATTACATCTTATTACTGTGTATTCCACAGTAAATCCCTAATACTGGTGTTTTCCAATTAAAGTCTATAATGATACAATTTTAAAAACCTGGTTTTCAGGTGAACACTCAGATCCCTCCATTTAATGAAAATACCCAGCAAGCCTAGGTCTCTGGAGAAAAGAGATGAAGGAAAGACACCGCAATGACATGTAATGGTCACACTGTTCTCAGGAAGCAGCTACTTCCTACAGCTACGAATTTAACATGTTTAGTCTTTAAAACTGTTGTTACTCTATTAACTAAAGAAATATGCGCCAATGGTTATGCATATCATCTCCCACCCCCATGGCTCAGCAACCTCTACTGGGTTCTAAAAATAAAGAGAATGATTTAGTGATCCCAGCCCAGAAGAGCATATGGTCTCATGAGAGAGACAGATAATCAGGGTTCAGCACACCAGACAAAGCCTTGATAAAGATGGAGGCAATGGGCTCCTTGGAGAATGCCTACTCTCTAGATTTTCAAGGATGAGCAGGAGTTAGCCAAGTGAAGGTGAGAGATTTGCATTCCAGGCAGAGGGAGTTTGAGTAAGACCAGAGCTGTGAAGCTGCATAGTACAAGCAGGAAAACAGCATTCAGGTCAGGGTAGGAAATATCAAGATGGAAACGTAGGCAGAAACTTTAAGTGGCATGTTAATTTGGGGATATCATAATTTGGGGATATCGTGTGTGTGTGTGTGTGTGTGTGTAGGAAATAGGGAACCAACGAAAAGTTGCAGGCAAGGAGGAAGCTGGTTAAGTTTTCACCTTAGAGGAATCCCCCTTGGTGGCTTCCCATGTGAAAACTGAGCAGGTGCCATACAGTCCAAAGAGGCATCTTAATAAGGACAGCAGGTCATAAGGAAAGGTTGCCTTTTGAAAAGATGCTCCCTTTCAAAGCTTCATAATTAGACGAAAATATAGGAGATGGATAATTTACTTCTAACAGGTAAAGGGACTATGTTATGTTATGAAATGTCACTAAATACCCAAGGACATCAGTTTAACAGAAAAAAAATCAGGATGATTTAAAAACAGAGGAAAAATTCAAGGTTGGATTAAGGACAGGAATGACAAAGGAGACTTAAATTGTATTCAAGGATGAAAATAAGGGTCTACTTTGAAAGAGAAGTGGACAGATGAGCATTCAATAAAGTAAGAGACTGCAACAGGGAAGAATTACAAACTTCTTCACAACTTGGTACTAATTTCCCAAATTACTTTTAACCAGGCCAGTCTAAAAGTTGCAAATACAGCTCAGTTTGCTGTGCTGAATCTTGACTGAAAAGTTAGCATGTGTGTATAGACATACGACTTACTGGTACTTTATTACAGGTACTCACTTAATTCTCAGTAGTGGTACAAGCCAATCCTGATGGAACATCTCAAATTAGATTTCAAGGTCCTAGTTTGACTTGGAAAGGAAGGAAAAATGTGACAACTGCCATTTAGTCAGCATACCGAAAATGTTTTCTTTTTGTTTTCTGGCTGCAAAAACTTATGTTTTTACACCTCCCCTTCCACCAACACCTCAAATAACTGTGACACTAAAAAAATAGATATACTAAAAATAACCACTTAACCCACTCAACAGTTTCTTACATCAGATTTTATTATACTGAAATACAAGCTACATTTTTACAAAATAGAAATTCTTTGTGAGAGTGGATTGACTTAATTTTATTTCTGTATAAGCTAAATAAGTTAATCTGTTTTATGAACATGTATTTTATAAAAATGGTCACAATGTATTTTTTAAGTTAACTGATTTACTGAGGGAGGAGGAAGGAGTTGACCAAAGTCTACATGCACAGACAGTCCTAAAAGTATATCTCAAACATGAAGATGTAAATTTGAGAGTTAATGATACAAATTTCAGCAAGAAAATTTACAGGCAGAGTGTGTTTTGGTGTTTATAAAAGCTGAACTCCTTTTGAAGGGCTTCTGTACCTATATGCATGCTCATATACTATATGCATATATAGGTGTGCTTCATTTTGAGAAAGTCCAGTATAATACTAGCATCAAATTTACAAAACAGGTTTAGTGTTGACTGACTGAAGAACTCACTACAGGTATTACTTCAACTGCTTACATTCAAAAGTATTCAATTTACAATTTTTAGATACTTACTGTGTAAGGTAAGTACATCTATACATAAATACTTTTATGCATGTATAATCTAAACATAGCAAATAGCTGAGGCTATTTTCTAAGGTGTTTGGCTTAGTGAACCTTTTTTACATCTTAACAGTTTTAAAATCAAATACAAAGCAGTCTTTATTTGGGTGTATGTTATCACAGAGGGATAAAAATCAGTAATGGGACTGGAAACAGTATACCCACTAAGTTAAATTAAGTCATTGGTTAAAACACCAAACTATTCAAAACCATTTAAGAGATATGCCCCCACTAAATTCCCTCTGAATTTAGTAATTTACAGATGTTGTGTTTCATATTCCTGTTCTCCCCTTTATGCCTGCCCCTTTGCAAACATTCTTTTCACACCAAATTCTTACAACTGAATCAGAACCACAGAAATCCAACACCTTTTCTCTCCTCTGCACATGGCTACAAAAATTCTAATAGTAACAAGATAGTTTGAAAGACATACCTCTATATACTTTTTACTAGCATTGCATTTGCAAATTTACTTGAAATTACTTTTTTAAAAAAACAGGATCTCTATGGCTTCCTGTCCTTCAGAGTTCCTTCTAAGGTATGAATGCTAAGAATTTTCTTTTCAGCTGCCTATATTTCATCAGCCTAGATAATTAACCATCTTTTATACTAAATTTGCCATATGCTGACAAAGTCAAAGACCTGTAATAAACTAGACAAAAACTTCCTCTTAGCGGTCTAACGCTGTTAAAGGCAAGTGGTTTCGTTTCCATTAAAACTATATTCCTGCCTGCTAAGTTACTGAGGTAACTCTAAAAAATTAAGTAGTAAAAAATATCTCCATGGGATGTGCCCTAACACAAGTTCTACTCTGCCTATTCAACCAGCACCATAATTTTTAACATTCACTTAGCACCTATGGGTAATTAAACAGGCATCATCTGAGAATATTACAGTCGCTCAATAGTACCTCATTATTAATTAGTACTATGTCATGGCTCTCTATGACTCTTTCTCTGCTCAGTTCTAGTAATATCTTAGCAGTGATAAAGTAGTGTTTTGCCCAAGTAGTTATTCTTATTTTGTTTCACTTCGACTGAAACAAACATTTGATTTTCTTTCATCACGTGCTGTCATATGGCGATATGGATTCAATAACTCAATCATAATGACCCCCAAGGTTAAGAAGAAAAAAAGGATCATTCAGCATCTCTCTTCTACCTTTTACTTTCCATGTTAAGAGGGAAACAAAACCTTCAAAGGAGCAAGCCAAGTAGCTTCTCCCCTTATCTAAACGTTACTGGAAATAAGGCATTAGAGGTGATTAGTGCTAATCTCACTTCTGTTCTCTCCTTTACTCCTTGACATCACTATGTTCTACATGCAGTCCTCCAGGTCACCTGCTTCAACACCATCAGTTCATTCACAACAAAGATTTACTGGACCCTCTCTCAAACGTACTGATTCAAAATCTCAGGAGGAAAGTAATGAAGATCTACATTTTTAAACGTAAGCTTCCCAAGTGAGGGTTACTCACCAATAAGCTTAAGAACCACTACCCTATATATTATACAAAATAGCTGCCCAACGTTATAATTTTAGTTGTCTTGATATCAGAAGGTCAGCAGAGGATTAGGGTAAATAGCTAAGCATGGTGGCTCATGCTTGTAATCCCAGCACTTTGGGAAGCCAAGGCGAAAAGGATTACTTGAGGCCAGAAGTTGAGAGAGCAGCCTGGGCAACACCGCAAGACCCTGTCTCTACAAAAAAAATTTAAAAATTAGCTTAGTGCACTAGTAGTGTAGTCCCAGCTACTTGGGAGGCTGAGGCGGGAGGATCACTTTACTCCTGGAGTTGGAGGTTACAGTGAGCTATGATTGAGCTACTGTGTGCCTGGACAGCAGAGCAAAACCCTGTCTCTTAAAAAAAAAAAAAGATTAGGATAAATAAGTTTTAAGAGAGAGTCTATCACCAACTATCTGAGTGAGTTACATTAAAAACCTGTTACAAATAAAAAAGTATATGAGATGACAGCACTCTGGAAAAAGTGCATCTGTAAAACCAAAGGTTTGGACTACGTAGTATTTAAGA